TATTGAAAAATAAAAAAAGAATAAAGCAATACGGCTTATAATCTTACACAGGACAATTAGAAACATCCCTACGAAAAGTTTGAAAAAAATTTGGAGCCGTTTTTGATTGATTCTGTTTTCTAGTATTTTTTGTGATGCATATATTTCACGCAGTATTATAAAAAACATTAAATTTTCAAAGAAATGTGCATGACGTCAATGAAAGAACTAATTAGAGAAAAGAAATTTAATTTAAGGAAAAATCTCTATCTTCAATACTGTAGTTGTGAGGAGACGCCGAGAAAATATCAAATTTTTGTAATCTTCAAAAAATGAAAGTTAACAGTAATCTTCGAACTAATGCCACCCTGAGACATATATTTTAATCTATTCTTACAACAAATCCGAAGAAAAAAAACGGGAGCCATTTTGAGAAAATATAAAAGATGGCCTTGGGCCGTATCCCAAAATTTTAAACAGTATTTTTCGAAATCGTAAAGCTTGAGACTGGGCAGATCAACCAGTGAATATTTGTTGAAATCTCAAAATCGATTTTCCGCATCATTATATATAACTTTCTCTATTCTACATATATTACTCAGTATATAGGTACGTATACGAGAATGTAAAAGTAATGTTGTGATGCGGAAAATAGCGAAAGGATTATCTGACAAATCTCAGTCGGGCCACAAGTCAGGGCTGCTTGCCTTCCTCGCTCCCAACCCGCGTCTCATATCTCTTACGGAATGCTTCCGTGCCCCTCCACAGCCGGCGCCCCCACGCGCGGCGACGGTGATGGCGGCGGCGCGGCATGGGGGAGGGGGAATTGTATTTAGCCAAATTTCACTTTACGACGCTCCTATTTAGTCGATTTGAATGATTGATACTACGTTGGATTCAGAAAGCATTTCGCCATCGCTCTCTAAGCCCACATCTTTAAATTTCTTCCCAAAACTATTTTTTTTTAATTTCCAAAACTCATTTTTCAATTTTTTTTCAAAGAGACTTCGTAGCGTAAATTTTATATTAAATACAAATCCTATGTCGTTTACTGATTGGAAATCGGACCACTTGTTCAGACGTTATTAGTAAAGTAATTTGGATTATTTTGGTGGTGACAAATTAAACTAGTGTCGGTACGGTACATTTAGCCTTAAGGCTATCTATGGTACACATCCAGGGCAACCTGACCCGATGTACCGACAGGCTGTACATTTCTTTTTGTTTCGCTTCATAATTGCTTGCGTGATGCATTTTACGCCTTACTATCAGGTAAATGTGTGTAATAAATTATTATTATTATTATTATTATTATTATTATTATTATTATTATTATTATTATTATTATTTTATTATTATTGTTATTATTATTATTATTATTATTATTATTATTATTATTGTTGTTGTTGTTGTTCTTCTTCTTCTACTTCTTGCCAGTGTCGTTGTTGCATATTCTAAGAAAACGCGAAACCTCTGTACCATCCACCCGTACCCACCGCAGAAAATTCTTACTTTCAAAAGGTCAAATCATTGAGATGATGGTGTATCAACGCTACGTATAAGAATTATTATTATCGGGTGGATTTTGATGACCTAAAATATTGGCAAAAATGATCAATAAAATGCTTTAAATATGCTATAAAACAAAATAAATGACTTAAAATATTTAATCAAATTACAGATGAACAACTCAAGGTGTTGGGTATGTTACTGATATAATCAGGGCTTCTTCCTTTTGTTCATGTGAACTCAGCTTGATATCTTTGGTTTGGAATGTTCTTTACCAGGAAATCTCTGATTTTATATATCGCGAAATCGGCTGAACTGACTGGGCATCACAGAAACCTTAGATTACATAGTACTCACAATAGCTGACATTACAATATATGAAAAAAGAAATCGAATAAGCTACTCAGGAATTCTGTGGTAAACATTTGTTGCTCCTCGTAAATATTGTTTGAAGTAAGTACCATTAAAATTATATTAAAATCGATGAAATCAGCGAAAAGTGCATTAAAAATGACGTTAAAAGGTAAAAAAAGACTTGTTAGTCGAAATCTAAGAAAAATGCAAAAAATTACGTATAAAATGGATAATTTCATTTCGTCATAACACAAAATGAATTTATAAACTAAACGGTAGTGTTCTGAAGTGAACACAAAACAAAAAGTGCCCCCCTCTCTTATTATAAATATTTCCTGGGATGTGACGAGCGCATTGGGAAACGCTCCACGATTAGCACAAACAATGGGGAGTTTGTACACGCCATATCGGACAGCACTATTGATATTCCGCGCGTGCGCAGATGCACAAAATGCGAAACTTGTGAAATTTGAGTTGCGCATGCGCAGAAGATTGATAGTGTTTTAACTTTTGAGGGTGCACAAATTCCATATACATATCCTGATCCAAATTTGATCCAAACACACATGGGTTGAAATGCTGACCCCTAAACTGCCTTCGGTACGGGGACCACCCTCGTTTACAAAGCCCTGCATCTGTCGTGGCGCTTCTGAGAAATGTTGGAAGATTATTTCGTGGAAAACACTGATTGATTGTTTGGTCGGTTGGTTAGTTAGTTGGTTAGTTAGTTAGTTGGTTGGTTGGTTGATTGATGTTTTCGGGCACGCCAACTGTCACGTCATTAGTCCGGGGGGTTCCCATCTCCAGATATTACCCCCCACGGAGCACCGCTCAAACCGAGACAAGCTCTACAGTATCGGCAAGAAGTAAGCAACTATGACAGTTCTCTCGCCACGTGCTGTGGTACTTCATGTGACCGACTCTGAAGCAATCAGCATGCGAGAATTTGTTTACTTTCTCATAGCCTGCGTCCAGCGTAGACGCTCATCTGACAACAAGTGGCGGAGGCGATAAGGTTCGGCTTTGTCGAAGGTCATGAACATCATATCAAAACGAGTCGTCGCCTGTCAGTAAGTGTTAATGTTTTGAGATTTAATTCATGTCATGCAGGTGGTGCCATGTGCGTAGTAATACGTGACAACAGGACATCGAACTGTAAGTCGCTTATACATCGCCGATACTGTAGCTATATCGGTAGGTAGAAGGTGCGTCAACCTGGAACAGACATGTCAGCATACCGGAATGAAATATGTCAAATGATGTATTGCTATGTAATTGCTAATTAACTGTCACAATGTGGAATTAATTGCCACGTGTATTCGTAGCGAAAACGGGCGTTAGCTGGATGTCAGCACATACATAAGTTTAATTAGGGTTATATCTCTACGGAAGCCCTCAAATTATTTACTGCTAATTAATTGTTGATAATTGCTACAATTTGTAATTAATTGCCAGGTATTTTCGTGGCGAAAACGGGTGTGGGCTGGCGTGACGCATCAAGCAAGCACACACATAAGTTGAATTCGGGTCGTAGCTTGAAGGAAACCTTCAAATGATTAATTGGTAATTAATTGCTAACTATTGCCACAATTAGGAATTAATTGATAAACAACCTCAGGACGAAAACGGGTGTGAGCAGGTTTGACACACACGAGTTATTATAAGTCATTTATCGTAATAACCATAGTAAAGCAATAAACAATTTGAGGGTTTACGTGGAGCTACGACCCTAATTTAAGTTATGTGTGTGCTGAGATCCAGCTCACACCCGTTTCCGCCACGCGCTTAATTCCAAATTGTGGCAATTAATTAGCATTAAATTGCAATAAATCATTTGAGATGTTTCATTCCGGTGTGCTGATATGGCAGTTCCAACTTGATATACCTAACCCTAAACACGTCCCGACGCTGGAAAGATTTTCGATACTACCTACACTACCTTGACACTAACTCGAAAACCAAAAAATTACAGATATAAGTAAAAAATAATTACTTGGGAATTTGTTGCTTTTTTGTTGCTCAGTTGTACCCGAATATAAATTTTGTTGCTCTTCAGACACCACCTAATTCTGAAATTTCGAGAAAGTACCGGAAGTGCGTAAGTCGCCCTCTTTACGGCGGGTAACGGTGAAGGAACGACTGACCGTCGCATGGCGAATGCTGGAGAAGTATATTACAAACAGGCAACCGACCGCACTCGAGGATTCCTTCCTTCCTTTTCCTTCGCATTTTCTTACACACATGTCGGAAGATCAGCCGGAGATTGTCCCGGCTGGAGCAGTGCCCCACTGGTGGGAGATATCTTGTTGAGGGAGAACCAGCTAGCCGTCTTGTAAGTCGGCACCGGATCTCGCCATCCAGCAGAGGAAAATCACCGCATTCTCCCGCGATAAAATCATGCACTACACTGATGGCACTAATGATCTTAGCAGTTGGCGTGACTGGAATCACTACTCAATCGATCGATCAATAATCAATCGAACCTCTCGGTCAGAGTTGCTACTTAGACTGTGGCAATTCTGTCTCTGAACTGAACTTGGCCTGTCCTGGAATCTAAAGTGGTCCTCTTTCGAATTAGTCTTTATTGTACAATATCTTTTGCATGAATCTTTACCTCTTTACATTTATTCGTTGGTAATTCAATAGTTTTAAGATGAGCTTGGAATTTTAATAATTATATTCTCAATAATCATATACATTTTATATTATTATTGATTGTGAAATTCAACATAAACATGAAGCTGGAAATATTGGGGGCGCAATATTTCCAGCCCCCGTCTTGTCCCCCGTAGTTGCGCCTTGTGCCTTTCCCCCTTACATACCCAACCGGTCGATCAATCAGAGTAGCATGTTTCCAGGTTCATGTAGCCTTGAGAGACACCAGCAGTCGCAGTGTAATAGTTTAAAGAGTGTCTACCAGGTTGCGCTTGTGAGAGCGCTTGTAGGCTCACGTTAGGGCGGCAGCGGGTGATTAGTTTACTTTATCAGGGACAGAGTGCAGCACTGTATCGAATGAGGTTTGAAGAACGGAACCAAGTTCTATGGATAGAATGCGCTAGTTATGAAAATCTCTGTGGTGTCAGTGATTGGTCAACCGTGCCCCACGTGACATTTGAATCCATTCAAAATAAACATGGCAGTTAATCTGAAGTGTCTCTAGTAGTCGGCGGCTGAGAGAGAAACTGTGCGGACGTTGGGTTTGGTTCAAGTTTTACAGTGACATTTCGCTGTGACAATTTTCAACAGTGTCTAGCGTAATGTGAACTAAGCCTTGGTGCTTCTGCACTTGCCATGTAAATGAAGATATCTGGCGCATGATTTGCAATCAACGGTTCGCCGATATAAGCTCTGTGTACGATCGTGCGTTTTAGTGCACGAATGCTGATAACTTATCCTAGCGTCATTGGAAATTACAACGCTCGTAGAAGCCTAAGATAAACTAATACATTTTCATTCACGAAAAGAGGTGAGTAGTTTTTGAATGGTCCCATCAATAGTACGTCGAAGTGGTGCTTCGCAGGCGCGCGTAGTTTGTTTGCGGCTTGAGGAAATCGTAATTTATATCCAAGATACATCGGATACGTTACTCAAAGTTTATAGTTATGTAGACGATAAACGAATTGTGTAATTGAGAGGTCGTGTGTCAACATTCCATACACTCGTCTGCAGTGATTACATTTTTAACTTAAAAAGTTTGGAATCCTAAAACTGATTGTTTTAAGGCACATTCTTATATTAGAAACGTTGCAAGCACTGAAGTTGTCAGGTGTTTTCTCTGTGTTGTTTATGTCAAAGTTTAATTGAGCCTGCAAATTTAATAATGAAAGGTTTCCCTCCCTATAACCTGGTATTACAAGTATGTGTCTTTTTGACAGCGAATGTTGTTTGGTAATATTTTTCTGGAGAAATCCTTTTTTTCAAACCTTTTGCTAGATATTGTAAATTCATAAGGAATCAGCGGTGTCTAAATTGTCATTTCTACAACAATATGAATGAAAGAATGGAGTTATATTTTTACTTATTAATATCGTTGGTAATGCTATGGAACACATTAAACTATAATTCAGTAATAAAGTCTTGATCTGTTTCAATTTTAATGAAAGAAAATATTGGAGAACAATAAAGACTACCACCTACTTTCATTTTAGTATTTCAAAATATTGCTATGATTTTATTATTATCCAGTAGACTATGTTCTTTTGTTTTAAGAAGTGCATTGTTAACTGCTATTAACATTGCTTACAGGTGAACGTAGAAAACAGAAACGATGGATGAAAGCAATGAAATATTGGTTTGTGCATCTGAATATTTAAAAGGTAAGAAATACCACGCATTATTTTAATTAGGTAAAATCATTCCAACTGATTATTTAGGCAAATGTCTATCGTTTAACGAAGAGTAGGTAGTTCGATTAAAGGGCTCGAAAAATATTTATTAGAATCACTTAAAACTCACAATAAGGGTTGAGATAGGTGGCAGGGGATATTAAGGAAACGAAATACACATCCATCAAAGAACAGAACGTAAATAATTACAATCGTACGTTTTGTTAGAAAGAGTTTGAAGATGAAAAAACGTAATGACATGGTTTCCCGAGGTTTCTCAGCCCTTATTGGAGTATGACTATTTTCAATCTAAATGCTAGCCTCGGTAGTAATTTTTTTTATTAGAAAGATTCGTAATTTTCCTTCTGTTAGTGTTGTATCTCCTGCGAACAAGCAGAGCATTACAAATTTTATGAGTAACTAAGTTATTACAGCACTAATGTACTCGTATGCGGTCATCGGTTTTAGCAACTCAAGGTCTTTATAAGCTCTTGTTAGTGTAATTTTTGTGTGTATTTGAAATTTGCGGGGGAAATGCATGAAAGATACAAATGCTCAATGGTGAACTTTCGTACTGAGGAAAAAAGATGAACTCGCCCGCGGCATCACTGGTCCACGCTGTTCTGATGTCTTCTGGCAACGGAATTTGAATTGAGCCACCCTCGGCGCCGACGCCACCGGCACCTCCCTCCTACGGCATCGCCTAGCCTCTGCCGTGCTCTGCCCACCCTCGCGCTCCCGCCTTCCTTTTATTACCTCCGTGTTGTGCCAATAAGGCATTGGAAATGATTGAAAGAATGTGTTACTGACCCAAATTTTAAGCGCTCGCTATGTAAACGAGTCACACGATCCTGTCAAGTGAACGTAGTCTTCAAAGAACGGGATGTTCTATTGGTAATACAGATAAAATGATTCTCATTCTTTTTCTAGAAAATTACAGTTAAGAACACAATTTTTCCTGTAGGATTTTAGTATTAAAAGGCCGAAATCTTCCCTGATCCCGTTCAGTTAAAAAATGTCACACCTGGCGGTATTCATACGAATGTATACAAATCCACTCATACGTGTGTATGCGCAAGCCCACGCTCACTTGCACGTAAAAGTAAAACAAATACATTTAAGCAGACGTTATTTTCATTATCACTTGAGAACTAGATCTGGTGTAGTTAAATCTTAGAATTCTTAACTGTACAAATTTTAATCTTTATGGTGTGTTCACCATAGGTTTAGGTTTCCTAAGAGTTTTTTCTGCATGCGGTGTATAGAGGAAGTTGGTACATGTGGGTAATATATAGTGGAATGTTAGTAAAATGTTCTAGAGAAGTTGATTGGATCTGTCAAAACAAAACAGATTAAATGTCGAATTTTGAAACAATATGGGTGGAATAGTTTGTGCTTTCCGATGGGGCACAATATACATAATGGAAAAAAGATTCATAAACTTGAGACAAGAATTTGGAAGCCTCCAAATCAATACAAGCATGATCCATAAGATATGGCATAGAGCGAGTGATGTAGTGAAAACCCTTCTGTGACCGCATCGCCGTTCACTTGCCATGAGAGGGATCTAGAACAGATTTAATTATTTAAAGGTTTTTGTTGCTTGTGTGGCTATGGTTAAAGGAAAAACATCTGTACTATACTGTTGTCGTTGGAAGTGAGCTAACAGTTGGAACGAAATGTTTTTTCTCGACCTTTCTCATATGTTCTTTTCCCTAACTAACGAAGTAACGAGGAGTACAGAGAAGGCATTAAAAACATGCTGTTGATGTTGGGAGAAGAGAAGGCTTTTAGTAGTCTGTTGCAAAAGCTCAATTAGTTCTAGCTTTTATGGAGAAATAAATGGGAGTCTTATCACATTAAATGTGTGACATTAACATTGAACTTATCGCGATCATTAATTTTTCACTGTCTGTTAAGGTATTTGTTCCATTTGATTTGCCACGCGTCAGTTGGATGTAATCTCTAGTTCAGGGTTATCAGTTTTAATTTCATGCCAGTACCGATCTCGTATTAACTTTTTTTACAGTTGAAATGCATATTACTCCGTGCAAGGCAGTGCTAGCACTCGAGGCGCCGTAAATCCATTTGAAGACGACCTTCACCTTGGACACTGCGTTTCGACCAATGAAATTTCCGCAAAGGCACGTACAGATACCCAGTCGTCAGTTTACGCCTACTGTATATTGGGTGGACTGCCCTATAAACACTCGAAATATCCGCTTAGTTCAAAATAAATACTAAGAAAAATTATAAAACCCCGTGGTGCTTTTCAAACAATCAGCTCGAAAAGGAACTACAAACCATACCAGTAACAGAACACACAAGAAATCGTTCCTCATTATTCGTTACGTCATTTCTCAAATGCCCCGAATCAAGCAGATTGCAAACTAGGTCTACAGCATCAGCAAGCATAAAAATCGATTCCAGATTTCCAAAAGACGAGTTCAAAGCTCCTTAATTCACTCATTTTATCCTCGCCTTAATTATGAAGCTAAATTATATGCTTATTAATAAAATAATGTCACATGTTTTCGTGGAGTTCCCTGCCCAAATTCCCGAGGTGCCTCGTGTGTTCGGAAAACTATTTGCCGAAACGCTGTGTGAAAATTGTATTTCCACGTCTCCAGATATAGTGACGTTGAACATATAGAAATTTAGTGTTCGGCAGAAATGCTACTTCTTGCTGTAAAGAAATCTCTGTACTTTGCAAGTGTAGTTGTGCAGGGAAAAGGAAAAAAAAAAACCTTCCTCTTTTCTTAGTGTCTTAAAATTGGTATGGAACCCAGCGTGCAATGTGCCATTTACCTTTACGTTTCACATTTACACACACACACACACACAACTCTGGAAGATTAGGCGATACAACCTCCTCCTCACCCCCATCTCGGTGGGCAGTGACCCTGGGGTCACGTGGCGTCTTCCTATGCCTTTCGCTTGGGCCCGTGCAGCGCAACGGGTTGTTCGTGACCCTGAGACGCGCCCCCTGGTGGGCGTGTGTGTGTGGGGCGGGGGATACTCGCAAGGGTTGCGGGCAGGTGCACCAGCGCACACAAAGTCGGCGCGACGGCGGCGGCGCGCTCGCGGAGAGCGTAATGCCGCTGGCGGACACGTCGCGAAACGTGCCTCCGCGCCGCCTCTGCGCGCCTCCCGCCGCCTGCGCCAGCGTTTTAAGAGTGGCGGGTCCAGGCAACGAGCGCATATGCGCTCGCTCACTCTGCACGCACTGCTCGGGGGGGGGGGCTGGAGGAGATACGCTGGTGCATGGGTGTTACTCGGAGTCTGTTTAGAGAAAAGGGGAGGACAAAACAAAAATCTATTCGGTTCTTTAAGTATGATGTACAGGCGTTATTTCAAGCAATTGTTATGATAATTTTTATTGTATTTCTAAAACCAATGCCTCATGCGACAAAGGAAAGGCGAACAATGTTCCAGCTCTCTGCCCATCGCAAGGCGGGTAACTCTCGTGCGACGTGAAGGTCACTGCTCGCTGTGCAGAATGGGTAAACGGAAAGGTGTATGCAATGATGTGCCCTATTCATTCAGTTATGGAGGAAAACCGGAAAGCGATTCCATGGGTTTGCCATGAACAATCTTTATTCAGTTATGAAACGTGTTTGTGCACTCCATGTCATTTCTCCCACTGTTCTTGCAGCGTGGACACATTTTCGACAGACAATTTAACAGGTTCTACCGAAGTACTATGGATCTCTAAACTAGATTGAAGTGAATATGTAGACTTTATTTCTCAAATTGTTATATGGAATTATTGACGTAAGATACTATTGTAATATTTCCATATATTTTTATGACCCATATTTTCGTATAATTTTCGCCTTATTGTTATACGCCTGAAGAATATATTTAGTGCATTTTGCGAAATCATTTTAATAATCTTTTGGCTGGAGATAATTTGCTGCAAAAGTGTTAAATATGAAAATATTATAATGTTAATGTAGAGATAACATCCGCCTACTTCAATATTCGGAGTGCAAAATGTCCCACCGGGGAGATCGCGTGCAGCTTCGTTACCGCTAGTGTATCGCACGTGCAGAGAGGACGCTGACATGCTGACACGCACAAACTCGCATGTTACTGCACGTGTTGAAGCCATACGACATCTGACCTTGGTGGTCTGAGAAATGGTTATTTATAGTTCAAGCAAATACGAGTAGATACGCTTAGCCGTAAAGCTAGTTGTAGTACTGTTGGATATCTCATTAATATAGAACAGTAGCTGAGGTACTCGGAATTTTGCAGGCATTGCAGGGAGCGAAGATGTTTCATTTACGTTCCAGCAGCAGTTTCGTGTTTGTAAAATTGAATTTAAGGTTTGTGGTAAAGGGAATTGAACCCTACCCTTGTTAAAGTGCGCTGAGAGGTCAACTAGATGCCTAATTCTATTGATACCCAAGCTTTGATTGCGAAGCGTGATGGCTGACCGTTTTTCTCTGTCCGTCCTAGCTGTAGACTTGTTGAGACAAATTATTGCAGCGTCCCGGGGTTAAGAAACAAATGTAATATGAGTATGAAAATAATGTTGCAGAAAGGCGAGGTATTTTTAAAAATTTGACCTTGAGCCACCAGAACGTAGTTTAGGTATTAAAATACATTTTGTAGGACGTTTGATGGGCATTTAGAAAATTTCCATCCACTGTGGCAAATTACCCCGAAGTAGCAATATTCGCGAAAAAATGCACTTAAATCCTGTTTTAAATACTGAAGAAAATTGTTTATTTACATTTATTTAGTCAAAAAACAGTAAAAACTATGTTATGTAGGGGGGAGAAAATTATCGGCGCACGTTTTCTTTAGTTCCAAAATCCCTTCACGTCATTTTAACTATACATAGTTGAAAGAAAGAAATAAAAACAAATTTTTAAAAATAGCGAGATTAGAAATATTTGAAAATATAGACATTTTCGTTTCCGAGTTACGGAAAACGTATTTGCATCGGTAAACGAATTGTAAGTGTGATTTTTTTGCATGCT